TAGAAACACAAGAGAAGCCAAATTGTATGTTTAAACAGTTAAGAGGAAACCAAGCTCAGCAAGGAACTACAATCCTGGATTTAGCCTGGGTGAATTTTCCTTCTCTGGGATTTCCTGTCCTTTTTTTGGGATGTTTCTATCTATCCAAATGTTCACTGGCAACTGGTTTAAGGTCATCAACTGAACGGTGGTGAAAGAAAACCTTACACAGTGCTTGGGTTTAGCTGCTAAAATATCTGTGGTTACCCAATCAACCCAAAGGCAGGCTTACAAGACACATTTTTTTTTTTATGTAAATCATCTGGTATGTTCAATTGCATGGGGGGTTGGGGGTGGCAAAGAGGGAACAATGGGCTGGGATTAGATAATTTACTTAGTGCTAAAATTCCAGGAAGTTTGTGTTGATCTGGGCCTGGATCTTGTTACTTTTTAGCTTCAATCTAAATCTTTATCTTCTTGGTATAGTTGAGAGGACATTTTTTACTTAGCCATTTTTACAGTTGTAATTTTTTCCCCCTTTCATCAAATAGAGCCAGTTAGATTAGCAGCTCTTAGCACGGAGATGAAAATATTGGTAGGACCCATTGGGCCCTGTTTTGTTTATTCTACCAGAGCAGGCTTTGATCTAAACATATTTCCTGGGGTCTGGACGAGATGACCTAATTCCTGTCTTATCCGTCTCCACTTTCTGTGAATCTCAGATTGCGCTTGACTGTGGAGCCCTTTGAAATTCACTTTACATTTTTTCCCACTTTGTTACCCCCTCTGACATTTGTTTCATTTGGGGTAGGGGTGTGTAGCTCCTAGTAAAAGACTCCAATGCTTTATTTTTCTAACAGGACTGCTAAGTTTTAACAGAGTGGGAGCTTTCTTTTTTTTTCTTCTTCTTCTTAAGTTCTCTCCTTCTTGACATTCGCAACACGCCAAAAACAATAAGCAAATAATCTACTGCTAGAAATTTTATGTCAACTGCAAATCAGTCAGGATTTTCTGTATGACACTTTTTTCGAATTTAAAAAACAAAACAAAACAAAAAAACTGTCCCCCACCCCCTTACACATCAGTTGAATAAACCCGGCCCAGGAGAATTGAGAGGCAAAGACTTAAAGCTCAAAGTTGACTCTTGAGCCAATCGGTTTCCCTAAATGATCTGGAGAAACCTGCCTCCTTCCTTACCCTATGCACCCCTCCCCCTCCACAGCCACTGGCCTGAGGGGCCTTGGGTAGCTTGGGTCTTGTCTCTGGGCTCCCTTTTTTCCACCCTAGTTTCCTGTCAATCACCAAACTGCTCTTCGAAGCCTATTTTCCAGAAAGAGGGAAGCCCCTGTATGTATATGGGGGTGATGGGGATAGGACTAGGGGTAGGGGTGGGGAGCAACGCAGATGAAGGGGGAGGAAAAAAAAAAAACCACACAGGAATACAGGGAAGGAAAGACGGGGGAGATAAGGGACCAGAAGAAGGTGAAAGAACGACAGCAACACAGTCGAGACCCAGAGAAAAAGAAAAAGCATCCTTATTCCGAAAAGTGGGGGAAAATAACCCGAGTGGCTAACGTTTGTAAATTTTGAGTGATGGGTACAAGAAAGTTGGTTATTCGCAGTCCTCCTGTTTTGTTTTCTTTTTCTACAAGTCACTTTTTTTTTTTAAAGGAACTGAGGCAAATGTCACCAAAACGAATATTTTTAGTTCAAAAATGTGAATTTGGCTGTTATCATTCCGGGCAGCAACAAGCCCAGGAAATTCGGTGTCCGGCGATTCCAAAACTACCTCGACGCACCTCCAATTAGAGAAGGGGGGCAAAGGAAGGCGAAAAAGTGAGGCGAGGCTAGACGGGAGGGGGTGGGGCGGCGTGTTCACTTCGGCCTTAAAATAAACTTTGTAGCTTTATAAATATGAATAAATTTTCTCTTCCGCCGGGCTGAGCCGAAAGGCTGAGTGTATTTCTCACCCCGAGAGGAAGCAGGCTGAGGGCGATTTCTTGTTTTGGAAACGAATGTAAGGGGGAATAGGCAGGTAATGATCAATAGATTAGAGAGAGTCGATCGATGGATGGATAGGCAGGAACCAAGGCGAAGAGGGAAGGGAGGGGACAGAGACGCCGACTGAGCCCGCGAGGCTCCGACTTTCTCCTAAGGGCTACGGTCGCCTCTGAAAGTCTGTCCAAACGAAACGCTGCTTCTGCTCCCGTTAACTCATCAGAAAAAGTTAGAAGGGAGGAGGTCGGTGGTGAGAGGGGAAAGAAAAAAAACTCGCCCGCTGCCCGCCCCGCCAGCCTGGCGGAAATGGACCCGCAGCTGGGGAGGCGCAGGGCCGTGACCCCCACGCCCGCCGCGGGTGGGAGCCCGGGGGTGGGGACCGCGCCGCGGCCGCGGGATGTAGGGGGTCGGGGGGAGCGGTCCCGCTGCAGAGCTGTGTGTGTGCTCGGAAACCCGTGTCGGGGCTCTGCAGATGGGACCCCTTTGGAGAGGTGGGTGTGGGGCTCAAGGGCGCGGGAGGGAGGGGGAGGGCCGAGGGGCGTGTAACGAGCAGGTCCCTCTCGGAGGCCCCCCGCAGGTCTCAGGCTCGGTCCCCAGAGAAGCACCCGGATCCAAAGACCACTCAGGCCTGGGCACCCAGTCCTCGTCGCGCCCAGCCCTGGGAAGGGGTTGCATGCCTCCCTTTGCAGAGAAAACGTTCCCCTCTGGCCCGCCTATGACAAAAGCAGCCAGAATCTCATCTTTTCGCCTGGTCCCCACTTTTGAGCAGAGGGGTCTCTCTGGGGGTGACGTGGCTGGGACCCTAGAGGCGCAATCGCGGATGCTTGCTAGCGCGCTGAAACGTCTGGGTGATTCTCCGCAGCGCACAGCCCAGTGCCTGCCCTTTCAAAGTTTGGGGGCGCCGGTCCCCATATGGTCACAGCCTCAGGTCAGCGCCCACCTTTTGGCACGCCCCTCCTGGGCCCCAGACCACTTAGCCTGGGGAAGCTCGCGCCGAACGGCCATGGAGTGGCCTGTGCCCCAGTGGAAACTTCTCCTGGAAGGTGGCCCCGACGCTTCTCCCTTACCTGGGCGCAGGGCCACTGTCTGCCGGCGGTTTACCGCGGCTCTGGAAGAAAAAATTCGCAGACCCCTCTAGACACCAACTTCCACCCAGTCCGTTTGCTGACCCCAAAATAGTGCTCTGGAGGGAAATATGTTCTAGGGGAAACCCTAGAACAAAAGGAGAGAGGAGGAAATCAGACTGAATTCTGGTGATGCGATATTCAAGTCGACTCTACATATCCTTTGTCATGGACTTTTTCTTTCAAATATGCGTGTGTGTTTAAATGCCTAAAAGACTAATTAAATAAAGACCAAGTTGACCTCGCTGGGTTGAGGCCCAGTTTCAGATTATATAACCCCAGCTGCCCCGGGAATTCTCCAGCAATGCTGCTCACAGCCGCCTGGAAAATGACTGAATCAAAGGAAGTGAAACCACCGGAACAGGAGAAATAAAGCCAAAGTCTCCAAGGCCATGAATGTCCTGCTTAAGGAAACTTACCTGGCCCGATGGAACCTCCTATACCAACTTTTTATTTCACACCATTTTTTTCCTTTTTCTTGGGGGCAGAAAGGTTGTAGGAAAAGTAGCCAAACAAGTAATTGATATTGGGAGAATATCTAGATCCTCCAAATTAAAAAAAACAAGGAGAAAAAGAAAACACATGCTCATGCAAACCTGTTTCTGTTATGCCTTTTACAATTCCTTATTTAGAGAGAGAGAGAGATACATACACAATTTACTGGTGCCTGGGGAAATGCTAAAATACATTTTGGGGCCTGGCTAAATAGAAATGCACTCTAAAAACACAGACACAGTATATTGTTTTATCTGTTGCAAAAAAAAATGTATTTGATTACTTGAGTAAAATTACAGTATCTCTGTTGTTAGTAAGTATTAAATGTTAAAGAAATTGGACCCCCCCCTTCCTTTCAACTTTCCAAGAAAGTGCATGTAACAGTCCATTTTTTTTTTCCTTCCATACCTAATACAAAATAAACAAACACTATACCTGCTCTCTTGATCAAGAAGAAGCATTTGCTCTTGTAAGGAACATATGTACATTTTAATGAAAGTGATATTTCTTTTTGTATATACAAGAGCATCTACATTTTCTCCACTGAAGGTTGTTCAAGATGCTATTCTTAGCAGCATTGTGAAATTCCAGCACACATTTTCTATTGTGAATATACCTACAAGGCAAAATGTTACGTCTTAGTTTCAACTACCAAAACAACACTTGTATTTTTCTCTAAAGAATTTTGCGTGCTTATCACTGTACAGAAACTTATTAACATTGAGGACGACTCAAGTAAAAAGCACAATACAAATAGCAGTTCAAAACGGAAAGGGTTAAATCTACAAAAAAAAAAAAAGCAGGTTGAATTTTAGAATAAAAAAAAAAATCCCCCCAAAAAAACCCAAACCTTTCAAAGAACCACACAGTTCAGTCTGTACTTTCAGTCCTTTCCTTAAATTTGTTTCGAAAGATTAGACAATGTGTTTGCTGATAAAATTTTCCAGCAGGATCAAAGTATACATTTATATACAGATTTTATTAGAGATCTAATGCATCACTGAGGCATTGCATCAACACCAGATTCATATTAAAATGGATATAGAAAATAAGTTAATGCCAGATTAAGACCGCCTAGCAGGGCAACTTGCAATTGCCATAAATGTTACAGCAAGTTTACAGGACTCTAGTCAATTAGTATTTAGTCCAAAAATACAGAAGACCAAAGTTAACGCTTGCATTCTGTTTGCAAAGCCAGGTTATATCACTAATAAATAAGCTTTCTTAGAACTCTAGAAGTTGAACAAGGTACAAAAGAATGTCTTCAGAAGGTTGTAGTTCAGCGATCTGGGGTGGGGGGGCTGTGGGGGAACCAGAAGGTTTGGGGGGGACAGGGCAAGGAGGAGGAAGCAACTGTGGGTCTCATTCTGAATGGGGGATGCTCCCTCTCCAGCCAAAGGGCCTTTAACTTGTGACGATCTCTTTGCTGTCTTCCACGAAGCGGGTGAAACGGAAGTTGGTTCCATTCTCACTGCTTGCCATCTTCTCCAGGCCAGCCAGGGGTGCACTGGGCTCTGAGTTCTGGAGCTTCTCCAGGTTTCCCGTCAGCCCACTAATAGGTGAGCTGCTTCCGCTGCCCAGGCTTCCAGGAATTGGAGGAATGCCCCCATTCTGAATGACAGAGATCTCGTTGGCCTTCATCGCCAGCCCGTTGGAAAGCGCGGCTGCGTACTGATTCCAGAAACTGGAAGGATCCCCACTTCCTGACCTGGCCGCCAAATCCTTCTGGAACATTTCTGGGAACTTGACGGGATTGCCTCCTAGAAATGTCATAGGGCCATCCACAGAGAGCCGGCGACCCCGGCGGGCCGGGGTGCTATTCCACATGTGAGTGCCCATGTGTACCTGGGATGGGGGGAGGAAGGGATGGAGGGAGAAGAAAAAGAAAGGGGGGGGGGGGAGAGAGAAGGGAGAAGCTTAATAGTTGAATCTGTCTCAACTCACATCCCAACACTCGACAGGGCCAGTGGCCGCAGCGTCTATTCTTATTACATGCCGGACAGTGGGAAGGGTAACAAGAACTGTCCACTCAAGTCTGCTAGTAATAAGGTGTCCACTCTCTGCAACCCTGGTCTGCCTCTCCTCTGCCTGGGCAAGGATGCCTTACTTACTCCTTTTTTATTACCTGTATTTAGCTTATAATGGCCTTGAGCAAGCCAGTCAGTTGCAGATAGCTCTTTTCAGGGTGAGAATTGTTATGTCCACTCTCATTGCCATGGCAAGTATTGTATCTGACACCCTTTACCCTATAAATGTCCTTTTCAGATGGGAAGAGAGTGCCCCTCACTGATTGCCCAATGGAGGGCCTGTGCGTGGAGCGAAAAAGCCAGAAAGTAATTATTCATCTTGCATTACTGGCAGCAATCTCTAGAGAAATACTCTGTCAACAGAAAAATGTGCACAGTAAGAGCGCTCAACTGTTGCTCTAGAACTTAAGCATATTTGCTTTCTTTCCAACACGTATCGGTAGGAAATGTTGTATGATCAATTATCATAATACCCATTAGCAGAGTGGTGACGTTACTGTTTTTAGAAAGACAAACCACGCTGGACTGCAGAGTTATGAAAAAAATAGATGCCCACGCAGAGGAGAAGTGTAATTATTAAGTGATATGGGCAGCACACAGGCCACATGGAGGTCTTTAATCAATACCCCATGGCAATGCGGGGCTGCCTGACCTGGTAGGTAGAGCAATTCATTAGGTGCACTTAGCGAGACAACAGGGCCAGGCCGCTGCTTCGCTTAGGTACCAAATTATTCAAGGCACTCTGACGTTCAGCAGGCTGCAGCCTGCCCTGGTCCCTGCCATGATCCTGACCTGCATAGGCACCCACAGTTCTCCAGATAAGCCACGTGGCAGCAGGTTCTCTCGCGAGAACTCGCCCCCTGACTGTCTGGACCAAAGACTCTGGGAGCGTGCCTTACAAACCCTCAGTGGCCTCGAAAGAAAGAAGGCTGCTGGGGTGGGTGTGGGTGAGGTGCAGATGGAGTGAAGTACCTTAAGATTGCCTTTTGTTGTGAAAGCTCTTCCACAAATAGTGCAAGCAAAGGGTTTCTCTCCAGTGTGAGTTCTCTCGTGAATCTGCAGGGCACTCGACGAGGAGAAGGTCTTACCACACGTGTTGCAGTAGTGCTGTTTGGGGGTTCTCCTGGGCAGAGCTGGGAGCAGAACTGGGGACGTGGCAGAGGATGACAGAGGCCCAGAAGGGACGTGACTGGCGGGGGTGTCCTTACTGTCCTGAGGAGTCACATGCATGAAGCCGTTGACCTCTGTCTTGATGAGAGATGCCAACGAGTTGGCGGGAATCACCGCCGAGTTCTGATTGGGGCCAAGGTTGGAACTGGGCTCAAAGAGCTGTGATGGTAGATCCCGCATCTGATGTGTCAACATGTGTTGCTTCAAATTACCCTTGGTGGAAAAGCCACGATTGCAGACTGTGCAAATAAATGGTCTCTCTTTGGTATGACTTCTGTAGTGAATGTCCAAGGCACTCTGACAAGCAAAGGTTTTGCCACAAATGTCGCAAGCAGTGTTTTTAAATTTACCCCGGTCTCTGAAAGGAAAGAGGATTCCCAAAGAATCTTCTTTGATGATTTTCTCTGTGTGACTAGATGTCAAATCCAGAGCCCCACCATTCACTGGGGCGGGAGACAAACCGTTTGCAAACTCACTTGCCCCTGCTCTCTGCGGCTTCTCCTCGGCGCTGGGTGACTTGTGGAATTCCTGGGTGCTGTTGGATGGGGACAGAGCCTGCATGGAGGAGGTAGACTCTGAGATGGCCGGGCTGCCTGCACTTTGGCTCTCCATGTCCCCACCCACTGAGGACGAATCGTTGGTCAGGACGTCCCCCTCGACTGACCCATTCTCCACTGACTTCAGGCTGGCCTGCAGCTGCTCTGCCAGGCCGGCGTTGATCATCTTCATCTGATTTTCCAAAGCGGCGATGCTCGACATCTCTAGAGGCAAAGGCGAGGAAGACAGGCTGTCTTGGGACGCGTCTGCGGACTTGGGCGTGTCTGGGATGCTGCCCTCGGGACAGTCTTCCATGTTTTCATCGGAGAAGGTGTCTAGGTCATCAAAATTTTTCTCATCAAAGGAGCCCGTGTCGGACTCCATGGACTCGGGGTAGCTGTCAGGGACCGGGGTGTTGGGGATCTGGCCCCCCATGTGCATTCGGATGTGCTGCTGTAGGACCACGGCGTTCGTGAACTTCTTCTGGCAGATGGGGCAGGAATGCTGGACTCTGAGCGGGGGCATAGCTCGATGGACGCTATAGTGGGTCTTCAGGTTCCCTTTCGTGGTGAAAGCCCGGCCGCAGATCTTACACTTGAAGGGCCTCTCCCCGGTGTGGGTGCGGTAGTGCATCTTCAAGGCGCTCTGACAGCTGAGGACCCGGTGGCAGATGATGCACTCATTGGGGTCAGTGGCCTTCTTGTCAATGTTTTCGACCAGTTGCTGAAGCTTAGATGTCTCTGAGGCCTGGGCTGAGTCCAAGAGTCCCCCAAAAGGAAACTTCGCCTTGAACTGCTCCGACATGAGCGGCAACAGAGGGTTGGTGAAAGTCGAGGCGCTGCCCGGACCGCCGTCAGACGCTAGGGAGCTCAGCACGCCGGCGTTCAGGGCTGGGGCCGAGCTGGGGACCATACCGCTCTCTTCGCTTTTGCCGCCGGAAGGGGGCGCAGTGGGGCCTTCCGCTTCCTCCGGGAGCCCACCTGGGTTTCTCACGGCCGGCTCGGGGGCCCCGGAGTCGCTTGTGACGGAGCCCGGGGGGCTGGCGGCAGAATGGCTGATGGGGATGGGGGCTGGCTCTTCGGTCTTGATGAAGGGGGTGAGGTTCGGGAGGGTGGGGGGCAACGGCAGGCCGACAGAAGTGGTCAGGGTGGGCAGGACGGGTTTGGTGTCTAGCCAGCTGGTGACCGGCTTTTCTGGAGGGATGGACATGCCGTAGGGGATGCCGGTACTGGTGGGTATGTTGTCCAAATGCTCAGGCACGGGGTAGGGGTTCATCTGGATATGAGGGTACTTCTCTTTGTGGCGCTGAAAGTGGACTTTGAGGTTCCCCTTGGTGGAGAACCTGTTCCCGCAGATGTTGCACTTGAATGGCCTCTCTCCGGTGTGGGAACGAAGGTGGATCTGCAAGGCACTGTCGCTTCCGAAGACCTTTGCACAGAACCTGCACTTGTGTTTGAAGAACGCCTCGTCCGAAGCACTCTTGGCTTCGAAGGCGGTGACATTTGGTGGCTTGCTTTTTCTTTGCTGGGCCAAGGCGGACAAGGGGTTTAAATCCTCCGCTGTCGTTCCAATGTTGGGCAAAGGGCTGGGGAAAACCGAGTTAGCGGGGGCCGGCTGAGGTAGAAGTGGATTAGATGCAGGACTCAACAGACTGCTTATTGCAAAAGCTGGTGAGGATGAGGCAGAGGCCGCGGGGTTGCTGGTGTGGGAGGCGCCCGCGCTCGAAGCCACTTTTTCCGAGGATGGGGTGGGAACTGCCGCCGCCAGTATGTGAACGTTGGGGGAAGAGCCGCTGTGTGGGGGGGCGATGGTGTTGCCGGAACTGCTCTGAGGTAGCTGGATGGGGGGGAGCTGTTTCACACCGCTGATGCTGGCAGATTGGCTCGCGAGGCTCTGTGCTAACCCAGCTGCCGCAGCCAGCTGCTGAGATAAATGGGAACTGAGGGTGGACAAGGGGTTGGCAGATGTTCGTAAAGTACCTGGAGAAGGGCTGGAAGAGGTTGGCAGGTCTGCGTTCTGAGAAGCCAGCAGCAATATTTGGTGACGAATCTGCTCGATCAGCTGCAGCTGGTGGATCTGCTGCTGCTGCAGAGCTAAGAGCTGCTCCATCAGGGCCGGGACGGCCAGCTTGCCCCCCGAGGCCCCACTGCACCTCGCTTCCTGGGAGAACTGGGCCACTGCCACCTTGGTGCTCTGGAGGTTCTCGATGATGACGTTGCTGTTGATCACGGAGAAGTTGCCCAGTGTTGTCAGGTCCCCGAGTTGAGGTAGAGAGGTTGTGATCGCTGAGGTACCTGCGCCGGAGCTGCTGCTGCTGCAGCTAGGTGGGGCGCTGCTGTCGCCACCCCCGCTCAGGGGCCCACTGGTGCCTTTGGGGGCTGCCGGGGCCTCCACCTCCATGGACTCGTCCCTGTCCGGTGCCTGGGCTTCCGCCAGGTCGCTGCACTCTGCTTGCTCTGTTTTGTTAGACGTGTCATTCATTTGTTCCTGGGGATGATCGGGAGGGGGGCTGGGGCTTGAGAAGGTTTCAGGTGGGGAGGCTGGACTTTCATTTACGATGAGAACTAATTGATTTTTAGTACAGTTCTTCTTGTGGAGCAGAAGATCTGACAATTCGAAGAACTCGGCGCAGCACCGGCCGCAGACGTGAGCATCCTTGCTCTTAGTGGTGCGGTTGGGTTGGCCCTTCTCTGTGTCTCCTGCAAAATGAAAAGGAGCAGGGTTAGCAACGAAGCCAGGACACCCAGAGTCATCCAGGACCTCAAAACAGAGAGAATGGGGGCAGATCAACTCTTTCCTCCCCGCGAAACTCAGAAAACTATGGCCCCAGAAAACCAATCAATATTCCTTAAGAACGTTCTTGATTAAATGTTAAGGCTGTTGGAGGACTCCCTATCAATCTGGTATCTCCGAGAGCCGTGGCCTTCAGGTAATCCATCAAAATATAAAATACTATGAACTGCAGACATTGGTGCATAATGAAATTCCATAGCAAAATATTGATTTCCAATATTTTATACACCTTATTGTCTACTCGTCCATCCAGAGAGGGTCCAGCCACCATCCTGAGGACTTATTAGGCTCTTGAGTTTCTGTCAACCTTATTCATTTTCACCTGATTCAAAGATATCTGTGACAGTTTGTTCTGTCACTAAACTAATTTGTAGTCATTCAAGGTTCCAATCAGTGGTTGACAAGGGAAAAAAAAATGGCTATCACCAAGGTGAAGACTGACAACTTGAAAATCACCTCCAGACCCTACCTGGAACCTGAGCTATGTCTGATCCGTGACAAACACACTTTAGCCACATCAGTAACAAATCCTCTGGACACTCAAGACTCAGCTGAATACAAGAGAAAACAATGAGACACAGACAGACACACACACACACACACACACACACACACACACGAGAAACACAATGATCAAAATCCATTGCAAGGCCTGCCTGGCACCTATGTATCAGGCTGTGGCATGTTTATTTTTAAAATTAAAGAATGCAACTGGCTACCATCCCACTAATCAAGGAATATATGCCACTATGCTCCAAATGGCAACATTATGCCTGTAAATATTTCATCAAAAGTGCTCTTTCTATCTATAAAAACTGGCACAAGATTTACATTTCTGATTAAATATCAACTTAAAGAAAGATGTGCAGTTAAGGGGAAGTGAAGAAATAATTCTTGTTTTCTAGTTTGGAAATGCTTTGCAATTCTCCTTGTCTGAAATGCCTTTAAAAACAGTTTGCTCTTAACTGTTATCAATTGTTTAACAGATTGTCCCGAACCTTTCATTATAAAATCCCTTTATTTCATGTTTGTTTCCACTGGTTGCTCAGATTTCTTCTCACTAAGATCCATTTGTAAATTAAACATAAAAATCTCCAACTCCAAGCTAACATCCTATTCAAAGACAGGATGGCGTCCCATTGTTTGCCCAGCATGGGGAACACCAACTTCTGTTGTACAAATGGTGTGTGGTCATCTCCGTAGGCTGTGAAAAAAAAAAAAACTGTTTAATTCAAGGATTACCTCCCTGCATGCTTTTCTGCAGAACTGAATCAGATAATAGTTAGTTTCCATGACTTCCAAATTGAATCTCCCAGAAAACTTGCAGGGAAAAAAAAAACTAATAGCAAATATGAATAAATGCAAAATCAAAATGCCGCTTTTTTCAGTAAACTTAGAATTGAGTCAAAAGAGTCAGCCATTTGCCTCTTTGCAGTAAATATAAAACACACACACACACACAAAAACAAAAAAGCTTGAGTAGTTTTACATTCCAGAAAATATAATTAATACCCAAATACTAACTTCTAAAAATTCCTTAACTCTGTTTGCCTTGAGTGATGCCGCAGATGATTAGAAACCCTGGTAAAGTATGCCAAATGTATGCACACTTTATTCACTGGGAGGGTTATTTGAGTAGCTAAGTTATACTTAACAAGCTAGCTTCCCTAATACCCATCTTTTAATCTCCGTAAGGGTATAGTGCAAAATGCATTAACAATACCAAACAAATCTCGGTTGGAGCAGAAAATACCAATAATGATTCAGTTTTAATTTAATGTTTAATCATCCTAATTGGCACAGGATTCCTCTGCACATTCAAGGTGCTGTTTTAAGCTCTGTCTCTCGCTTTACTTAAAAATAATGTAAACAAAATATTAAACGAAATTCGCTAAAGTTATGTTTCTTAACTGGGGACGAAAATAATGTGACAAAAATTCTGTTTAAAGCTTCTTATTTTGACAACCAATTTTAAATGATGCATCCATTTCAGATGCTTATTTTAAACTAGGAAATGCAGTTCCTAATATATTCAACCGAAATGTTATTTCTTTCTCTTTGCACATTTCCATATGTAATGGTTATGTTTCCATCTACTTTTACAGCCAATTATGAAGGAACAAAAGCTATTCTGTTTGTTCACACATTTTCAACAAAATGCATTAAAACTATTATGTCAGCATGTTCTATTAAGCTCTGCATTCAGTGGAAAATACTTTTCAACCAGCTCACATTTATCAAAACATAAAGCCACTTTAAAACACAGTTTTGCTTGGTCAGCTGGGCTTAGACAAATAATGACAGATTCAGAACTAAATAACTAGCAAGGGAAATCAGAAAACTGACTTCATCAATTGTACACATTACAATGTAGTTGCTTCAAATATTTAGCACATCTGTGCTCACGATTAAAGGGCATTTTTAATTCTTTATAACTTGCAAACATCTGATATTCTCATAATATAGAGAAAATTTTAAAAAGGTTACTTTACAGGATTTAGCTGATTATTACTTTCCTGTGCTCCAATTCTGCACTTGTGCTGCTTCAAGACTCACTTGAGAATTTTCAAGTTTTTCGACCTGAACATTTTTATATTTAGGGTTGTGCTAACTGGAAGGAAAATACAGACACTTAAAAATAAGTGCCTGCTTGCTTCTAAGAAAGAGACTGTGTTAAAAAAGCTGCCCATATTTTAGCTTAGATTTTCACAACATTTTAATAAGCTGACATTTGATCTCACTGTAGAGTCAACTAATTTAATTTCCTGATGTTTATGAACACCAAAAAAAAAAAAATTCTGATACCTATTTTGATTTATTTCAAAAGCAGGTGTCACTACATTATAATAGTTCTTAACATTAAATCCATCTGTCTTCTGAACAGAATTCCAATGAAACAGTTTTATATGAAAAAAAAAAAAAGGGATAAAACATGAGGTCTAGTTCGAATCTTTAACTACCAAAGGGAATATTTTAAGTCGTAATAAGATGTACACACATACACTCACATCACAAACTAACATATTCTAATTCATTTTTTTGACCGTCTGGCTATCTTGTATCTCTCTCAATAATCTGTTACACAAGATTGCAACTGGTGACCCCATTATAGTAAATACAGTTGCCTTGTTCCCTGTACTATAGTAAAAACAATATTCTAGTTCCTCTTCTATGGATTATGCATTCAAATTAATTTTGTCACCGTGGTCATACAGGAAAATTTCAGAAGAGGTGGTTTTCTAAGTATGTACACACAAAAAGATTTTTGGAATGTTCTGGGTTTCTTTTACCCCCTCTGGGCCAGAGAAAGAGGTGATCTTATAGCTTTATCCAATTTATATGAAAATCCCAGATGTTTTAGTTTTCATTGTACTATTTAGGTTCTTGATGCCCAATTCAAATATGTCAGCTTTTCATCATCTGAACTAAACACTGCAGAATGGGAGGCAGAAAATTGAAGTGTTCCAGTATATCTGTCTGCTGAGAAAACAAAAATAAAACTATGCCCCATGCTGAAAGATTTGGCCAGCCAGGAAAACAAAACAAAACAACAGCCCTACTGTACCACGCTGAGTTTTCTTTTTTTGGAGCTTCTCAGAAAGACCCTTCGCTTGACTTCCCAGTACCTTCAGATCACATTAACGTTTTTAATAAAACCCCACAAGATTATGATCTTGGAGCCTATAGTTTTAACTGGCTGTTCCTTTTGGTAGACCAATTTCGAAAGGCTATCACAAACATTTCTGATTGATTGGTTTTTCTCTCTTTTTTTCTTTTTCTTGTACAGACCTGGAAAAAACCTGCATCTGAATGTTCAGCTTGAGATTCCACAGCAATTTAAACACCACTACATATGCTCTGCATATTTTCTGTAATGTCTTAAGTTTCTTCTGTGAGATCTGTAGCCAGATGACACATTTTCCTGGTTCCCTTCAAGTCCCCTCAGTGTTCTGACTGGGATTAGCGTGTTCTCGAGTGGAAGAATACAAGGGGAAGTCTCTGACAAAATAACAACATGGACAAGACAGTCCTTTGAAAATCCTGATACCAGCCCACCTAATGTACACAATAAATGAAAGGGGGAAAATATCTTCCCCTTGGATGAATCAAACTGAACACTAGATGGGGTTCCAGTTGCAAGGGTTTGTTCAAAAACTTCTTTGTGGCTTTCCTCTTCCAGTGACGTGTAAAAGAGACTGCTTAAGGCGAGATCTAAACTTTGACTACATAAACATTGGCAAAGGCACAAGAAACTAGATCCCTGTTGTCTGAGGGTAAAACTGAGCTATGGGAACTACCTGTCAATCTTCCCCTTTGGGGGTCTGGCATCTGAGGGTGACAGGGGAATAAGGTTAGGAAAAGAAGCCAAGCTGATAAGGTGAAACTAAAATAAACTCCGAACTTCCTGCTAAGTGACTAGCAAGACTCAATTTGGGGGTCACTGGGAAGATACTGAAGGACATATTATGATCTGGACCTTGTCACCTCTGCATGGGAGGAGGCTAGCAAAGGTTAAAACAGCTCGACACATCTACGTTTTCCAAAGCCTGGCACAGGGACTTTTTTCTTTTGGAGGGGGAGGGGTGCTGGTTCTTGGGATAATTTACCACCTCCTCCCTTCAAATGCTCCATGACTGCCCTTTTGGTAATCTAAGAATATTTGGGAAGACGGGGTGAGCGGTATCAGGAGGTACCTTAGATAAACCGAATTAAGTCTGCAGAAGGAATTAGTTCTGGCTACTCCACTGAGCTTGGCTTTTCTCAGTTTCAAAAAACTGAACTGCTGGTCTACCTGATTCCCACCCCCCGCTTTTCCGTGAGAGCTCTGCCTCGAAAATTCAGATTTTTGCTTTCCAAAGGACTGTGGGTCAAGACAACTTGCTACCTGCCAAAGCAGAAAGAAATGAAATAAAGTCCCCAAAGAATAACCTATAAATTGACACTTGTGCCTATAAACCATAGGTGAATCTGGATGGAAAATAAACCACAAAACCTTCGGTATCACAAATTCACTTTCACACACGCTCTCTCCTGTCCTTCCACCTTCGCTTGTTTGTATTTGTTTGTTTGTAACATTTTAGGAAGTATGTAAGGCCTCCAGCAAATTCCCCAAAACAGCTTGCATTTTCTCATCCAAAATCTTCCATGATGCCACAAACTTAAAATAGGCCTGATTAAACAAGAGTTTTGTGCAACTGCCTTATCATGCAGGTGTCGGTTTTTCAAAAAAAGCAATTAATTATAGTTCTCTCTAACCTTTTGGGCCCAGAAATCAATGTGCTGCCATTAAGCTGCTCACACTGAGTAAATTACTTTGGTAAATAATAGAATTTCATTATTAATATAAATAAGAGGAATTTTTTTTAATGATACTTTATATGAGAGGCAGTGTTTTATCTGCAGTTCATGATGTTTTTATCTTTCTTCCAATATGAAAAAGCTTGAAAAAGCTGGGCATAGAAATACTTTCTTAATAAATGAATGGAGTATGAGTGGGCCAAACATGTCGTTCCAGGAATCTTAAAAAACACTACCCAAGGAAGAAAAAGGCAACACACACACATACACACACACACCTGAAATCCAAATCGCTAGTAAAGAATTCACATACAAAATCATTCCATTCTAATGTTCTCTTTCCTCAAAATTATTTACCTTGCTAAATAATTTTCCCAGTGGCAGTCATCTTTCTACAAGTAATTCGAGACTTGTTGCATATCATTTAAGAGACAAGTAATAAGCGCCATACTCTTGGTTTCATAAGAAACAGTAAAAATCTCCCAGTTTATTTTGGGAGAGAATATAGCAGCACCAAAAATAGAATTAAAATATGAACATCGTAAGACTGACCAAATGATCTTGTTTTCTTGAACTTGTTCTGATGAAGTTATCCTGGAGATTGCTGAGACCAGCTCGGATTTTCTTTGTACGCACGCACACGCTCAAACACACACAGGCGTGACATGCCGTGCAGTAAGCCTGACTGCTCCCAGGCTTGGGAGTCGCTCCTTCAGGGAAACTGTAACCGGGGGCCTACAAACTTTTCTAGGTCTCACTCTGGACCGAAGTCATGAAATCAGAGGTGCCAGCATCTGCTGGGGGCACCACCAGCTAGGTTTAATTTGATAGGTTTAACATTTCCTTTGCCATGTTTTAAGCCCATCTCAAGAAAGAAAAAAAAAAGTAACCACAGCGTTTAAGGAAGGTTAATCTTCTAAAAATTTAACAACTTTCATGTAGATTAAACAAACAAACAAACCTGCAAACTGAAAAACAGAACTCCAATGACTCCTTAAAGTGTGTGTTCTGTGCGGACAGGAGAATGGGTGGCTGGATACACTGCATGAAAGGTGGTGACTTTTTAAAGGTAACTTGGAGACATGATTGCTCAGTTCTCTATCTCACAACTACTCCCAAATAAAAAGAACTGGCGTGTGTAAGGCCCTCCTGTAAAATCAGACATGGAGGAGGATTAGTTGTGTACTAATATTATTACAACATACTAAATCCTGTAACCCTATTACAAAATCTACCCTCTAGGCAGTTTCTCCCAAACTTATTGTTCAACCATGTAAAAACAGTCATAACCTAAAACCATTACAACTGGAGAAATAGAGGGGGGTGGGGAGAGGTGAGAAAGGAGGCCGAGAGGGGAGTGATTCCTATGGTGCCCCGACCAGTTTACTCCTCCTTAGGACAATGAAGCAGCTTTTGGGGATAAAAAAGAAAGAAAAAGGAAAGGAAGGAAGGAATAAAGTAAAAGAAAGAGAAAAAAGAAAGAAAGGAAACTTAATGTAACTTAACTAACTTACCTCAAAGCCCAAATAAACCAAAAAAACAGTCCTAATAAATAATAATGGTCAGAGGTAGTGAACTCCTTTTATGCTATCGCTTTATGAGAAGCCTTAACTATTAAAAATTCCGGATTCCGAAGGCGAGAGGAAAAAGGTAAAGATCTAGCAAGCATCAATTCTCTGAGAAGCCTAAGTCTTTATTTTTTTTTTCCTTTTTTGAAAATATATAAAATCAGTACACATTAATTTTTAAAAAAAGACTTAAAAATAAATCTTTCCTCTCCTCCCTTTAGGTTTGGTCCTTTAAAAACTGTTGACTTTAACAGTATCACAGTGAGGAAGATCTCACCAGAAACTTTAGCAAAGATGGTGTGGGGACGAGATGCAGAGGAAACCAGCTGGGAAAACCCAGAAAAATTCTGTGGCAGCGGCCTTGGATAATTTCACCTCTCTGTACCTTGAGCACCCAGTCTCGCCTGGGGTGGAAAGCGGGGATCACGGGTTCTCAGGGGACTGAGAAATCAGAGGCTCTGGATAAGGCTTGAAGCTTGAGAAAGTACTGGGGTGGAGGGGGCCAAATATTGTACACAAATATCTTCATCTGTGTCTGTTCTCCCCCCTTTCTCACAGGGATCACCCCCCTCCACAGGAGTCCCCCTTCCCGACAGCCGGGGTGAAGTGGGTGGGAGCCCCTCGGCTTCTCCGCCTGGGTTCTTCATGGGTCCCTGCGCCCCAGCTCTGCAGAGAAGCAGGCCTCTAAGGGAGGACCGGAGGACCGTGAGGGCCGGGCGGCCGCAGAGTTTAGAGGACTGAGGTGCCGACCAAAGGGCAGGCTTCCGAGCCCTATCGGGGTCCAGCTCCCTCCTCTATACCCCAAAATGGAGCACCTCGAGAGACATCCCGAGTCGCAGAGACAGCTCCGGGGTTGCCGTTCGAACCTCCGCAGCCGAAAGGCGAGCACTGTGCCGGGGAACCGAGCCCGGGCGCCGCTCCATCGCCTCCGGCCTTGGGCCTGGGAGTTCGGAGGCCCCTAAAGTGTAATATTTTTTAGGGATAAAAAGGGATTCAAGGTGTCTGTCCTCTCTACCCCCAATTCCCTGCCCGGATCTCTGCCACTCTCGGCCTTAGCTCCGTCATACAAACTTTGTTCTGGACTTGTTCACTCCCTTTGGGACCCGGCAGTTGTTGCCTCCATCGGAGGAAGCGAGTGCCTCTGATTTAGGGGGACTCCCTCGTGGCTAGATAGCCCACCCCACCTCCAACTCTGAAGAACGACCCTTACGACTCCTGGAAGTGCGAGGTACCACGATCCTTAGCGGGAGCCGACCGAGTCTAAAGATTTCTTGGGGGAGCCGAGTGTGCATGTGTTGGGAGAAGAGATGCGGGGATCAAGTGGGATGGCCGGACCCCGATACTTTCCCCCGTCCGCCTGCACTCTGTCTGGGGAGCACCCGGCAGCAAAGAGCACTCTCCAACACGGCCTCTACCCCAGCGTGTCAGGCACGGTCGCCCCAATACAGGTTCCCATCTTCTTGGAACTCCGAACTCCCACAGGAACCCCATTCCGCGGCGCGGGCCCAGGACGAGTGGGAGCGCTGGGGAAGGGGGGGAGCGCCGCGCAGGGAGCTCCCCTCCACGTTCCAAGTTCAGCCCGGAGCACAAAGTAAACTTCCTTCCCGCAGGCAGCAGGACCAGGGCGGCGGAGGCCAGGCTGGGCCTCGGGCGCGGGCCGGGGAGCGCGTGGAGCACCGCGCAGGCAGGCGCCGACGGCCTCTGTCCGCACCCGCGCCCCGCCGGGCACCCTTGCCCCGGCCGCAGCTCAGAGGGTCCCGGGATCCGCTCCCGGGGACAGCCGGGACGCAGGAGCAAGGCCGGTTAGCCCTCTCTCCTCCCCGCAGGAGGACCCAACAACTCCGGAAAGATCCTGCCTGGAGAAGTGTTTGCTTTCCTCGGGGCAGGGGGGTTGGGGGTGGGGAAGCCCAGCAAAGGCAAATTGAAATTAAAAAAAAAAAAATCGCGGAGTCGAAACGGTGATTCGGATCGCGGCGGCTGGGCGGTGGGCGCGGGGGCCAGCCGCGTGTGCGTGGGCGCGAGTGTGCGTGAGTGTGAGTGCGAGTACGTGTGTGCGCGTGTGTGTCCGCGGCGCGGGCCGGAGCACTCACCATCTCGCCGGGGGAGCGAGGCCACTTCGGGGTCGGATTGGAAATGTTGAGGCTTCGCTTGCTTCCTCCGCGACATGCTGGCTCAAACATCAGCTGGGGCAGAATAAAAAATTACTAAAAAAAAATCTTCTCAAAATTACGGAAATCGAGCGGCGGCGGCGGCGGCGGCTCCCCCCGCCCGCCGGCCCGCCCGCCCCCTCCCCGGCTCCCCGGCCCCGGGCGCAGCGCGCATGTGTCCTGCTATAATTATGATTATCAATAATGCATTGCGATTAATCATAGAGGGGCTCTTTGAAAGGCGATTGGCACCGGGCCAGCGCTATTCAAACCCGCTCGCCTTAATCAATTAGTTTGTGATTTGCTGCAGACCCCTGTCTCTCCGCGCGCTGGCCCAATAAGCCGGCCGCGGGGCTGGCTCTGCGAGCCGCGCCGCCCGACACTGGGTTAACCCTCTTCGCGACCGCCCGGGACTCCGCGGCCGGGCCGCCGGGGGCCTGCCTCCTCGCCTCTGAGCACCCGGCGCCCCGGCCTGCGCCCCCCTCCCTCCCTCGGCCCCCCCCATCCCGGGCTGGGCCGACCCAAATTAGCATGCCCTCCCCGGAATTAAGCCTCCCCTGGTGGGGGGTGGGGCCGGGCGGCGGGGGCTGGGGACCCGGGCTGCGGGCGCGCGGCGAACTTCCCAACTCCGGCGCTAGGAGCGCCGGCCCGCGGGGGGAGGGAGTCCCGTGGCGGGATTTGGGGGGGAGGAAGTCCCGTTTCGTGAGTGTTTCTTCGTTTCTTTAAGAGCTACCAGAAAGCAGCCCACCCCCACCCCCATTAAAAAAAAAAATAAGCGAGTGGGGAAGAGCCAGCCCCACGCCGGTCCGCCTCCCGCCCGCGGCCCGGCCTCCCTCCCGCTCGCTGCTTGGCTCGGCGCTCCTTCGCCCCGAGTTCTCCATCCCCTGGATCCCGGGCTCGCGGGGGCGCGGAGAAGAGGACCAAGGAAAGGTTTGGGAACGTGATGGGTTTGGGGCTTGGGGGGGGGGAGGGGCAGCTCTCCCGCCACCCCGTTCCTCCTCAGAATGCCCCGATCCTCTAGCTTCTCGCTTGCTCCCCCGCTCCCTTTCTCTACCTCGGACATTCCCAGGACAATTAGGGCTGAAGTTTTCGGGAGAAGCGGCCCCGAGCCCGTGGGATAAGGGGGCGGCCCGGCTCCGCCCAGGACCCCTCCCGGACCTCCCCCTCGGCTGCCCCGGTTGGCTGCAGGGCGCGTCACTCCGCGGGGAGGCGGCTGCAGCGGTGGCGCCGCCGAGCCCAGGGCAGGCGGCGAGCGGGGACCGGCTTGGGATCCGAGTTCAGCTCTAGCCGGGGGGAGGGGAGGGGCCGCCGCTTACCCAGCACGCTGCAACCCTCCCCTGGCCTCGCGAGGCGCGGGCCTGCCCCGCTGGGCTCCGGGCACGGCCAGTCCCCGGGACCCCGCGGCTCTTCGTCCTGGGGGAGCGGGCCGTGTCCCAGGCTCTTGGCGAGGAGGTGGCCGCTCTGAGCCTGAAGAGAGGGGAGTCCTTGTCCACAGCTGTCTGGCCCCGCAGGAGCTCGCCTCCACTTCTCAGGCACTTGCTGAGCGCGGCGCCCAAACTTTTCGCACCAGCTCCATCTCCCCAGGCTGTGAGGCAGCCTTCCCACCCGCGGCCCTGAGCCCGGAGTGGGGATCCCGGGGCCCGCACTCAGTCCGCTGGGCTCGGGCCCCCGCGAACCTGAGGCTCAGTCCTCGGTCAGCCTAGCTCTTCCCCCTTGTGCCTCAGGGTCTCCTCGCTCCTGGTTCCCGAAGTCCTGCGCCCGAGGGACACTCTAAACTTCGGCTGAGTAATGGGGACGAGGGGGGGGGGGGTGCAGATACACAATCCCCACCCTATCTCGCGATCGGGAAAGGAGAGGGCTCATAAGGACGCCCCAATTCGGGAGCGCCCTGGAGCCTGGAGAGCCATACAGTCAGTTCGCGCGAAGTGGGCACCAGTCTTCCAAGTAGAGTTTCGGGTACTCCGGACCATACTGCGCTCCCGCAAGAGTCTCTCTAGCCACTTTGGTCCTCCCCCGCTGTTTAAAATCTAAATCTTTTGTGTGCGGGTGAATGTTTCTGTTTTCCTCCTGACGACTTTATTTCTCTTGGTATAACTTCTCCTTTCTCCTGTTCGCCCTTTCTTCACCTTTTCTCCCGCTTATTTTTCCTCTTTTGTGGCCTCGCTCTCTCTCTCTCTCTCTCTCTCTCTCTCTCTCTCTCTCTCTCTCTCTCACACACACACACACACACACATTCACGCTGACACCCCTCTGCATCTCGCTCTTTCTCCCCAGGTCCTGTTGGTTACAGTAGATTTTGATAAAAAGACAAACGAAGCTATCAGTGGGGCTGATGTTGAAGAATGAAGATAATAATGTTTCCATAGGTGGTGCTTCAAATGCCATTATTTCTCACTGAATATTTAAAGAGATCCCTCGGCAAAGATGGATCTGCGTGCTCCTGGGGTGCCAGCCTCTCGCTTCCCCCAGACCCCCAGGAAAGTGTGCGGGAGCACGTGTAAAACCCATCCCCCGCTCCGCAAACTGTGATCCTCGCAGGCATCCCAACCCACACTCTTCCAGGTACACCAACGCCGCCGTATGCACTTGCACACGCGTTTCTCCGTTTCTGCCCGTGTTTGGATTCGGCCGCATCTGTCTCTAACACTCTTGGCTTCTTGAAAGTCCGGGCCTCTGGGGCACCGCGTGCTGCCAGGAACCGAACAGAGCTAGCGATCCCGCAAATCCTTCTTCCTGGATCGCGCCGTAAGCGCCGCGGCAAGCTCCCGGGATTAGCGTCACACGTGTTCGTTACTTGCTCTATGTGTGATTAAGATTAAGGGGCGGGGGAGCTTTCCCTCCCCCCCACCAACAAAACACCAAAACAAACAACCAAACGAAATGCACACGCAAAGAAGCAGCTTCGCGATGTTTAATTAAAAATGGGAGAGCAGAGACGAATTAATTGGGGGGATCCAAACTTTAATAACTTTTTTCGTTCTTCTGCGTCCTCGAAGACGTAGAGGCAGGCGTCTCGCTCGAAGCGCAGCGTCCCCCGCTAATTTCTTGTTTGTTTTCTTTCCCTCCGTGGCCGAGAGAGAGGAGAGGGGAGGTGGAGGAGGGGGGATGGGAAGAGGGGGATGGTCGGAGTGGCGGGGAGAGGAGAATTGGTCTTTATTGTTGACGGCAATACATCAATTACGGGCCATTGTCTTGGGCCCAAGTTCCGTGGTTCGCAGACGCGGGCGCCGCGCTGTCAGGGCGCTCGGGTGAGGCTTCGTGTGCTGCAAGGCAGAGAAATTATTAAATTAATAAAAACGGAGACAGAGTGGGGTTAGACCGATGGGGGTTGATTTGTACTTTTGAGTGGGTCGGAAGAAGGCAGGGAGCACAGTGAGGTGCCGCAGTGCAGCCCCTCCCCACGCCCTGCTCACTCGAGAGACCTGCGCGCTCTACTGGGGATCGCGGGTCCCTGCCTTGGGTGGGGCAGCTGCTGGGGGACTCCGGTTGACGGGGCTGGCACTTAGGCTCCTGGCTTTTAGGGGCTGCTCCATGTTAAAGATTGGAGGTGGCCCGAAGTCTGGCAGCGGCTGCGCCAGGGTCGTGACCTCGTGGGTCGACAGGAACCGCACCCGGGCGAGGCGCTTGGCGAGTTGTCCAAAGTCACATTGGGGGGCTGGATGCCTGTGTTTCTACTAACAAATCCCGCCCCCCCCCCCCCCCCCCNCCCCCCCCCCCCCCAGTCTTCCCAACACCTACAGAGTCCTTGGTGGGTTTGACGGTGGCCGAAGGGCCCCAAGGCTAGCGAGCCACAGGTGAATTCCCAGCGAAGGGAATTCTCCTTTTCATTCCCTGATCTTGGGAAGGGGAGAGGGTGTTGGGCCTCCTTTCCCCAAGGCCCGATTCTTCCACCAGTAAAACTACCTTATTTCGGCCCAGTTTGACCCCCACTTTCTGATAGAGCCTAGAATGAGGCCTGGCCTGCGCCCAGGACGTTCCTTCTCGCTCCTTCTCCTTTCACCGGTGCGGGTTGGACACTCTACCCTTGAGCTGAAGGTCGCCCCCACTAGCCTTGCCCCAAGCCCCTGCTTCCGTGGTCCCCGGCCTCAGGCCCCGCTGGGCCGCCAGCCGAGGCTAGGGGGGCGGGAGAGGAGGTTTCGTTTTCTCGTGCCAAGCAGAAAGCAGCGAAAAGGCGGCTGCGGCGTCCTGGGGGCGGGGGTGGAGGCACACCCGATGGTATCAACGTTATTGATGGGGAAATATTAGGGGCAGGAGCCCAGAGATCAGGTTCCCGGTCCCTCCCCTACCCGGAGGTGGGAGGGACGGAAGGAGTGGGTGGCGGCGGCGTTGGTGTTGGGGTGTGCTGGGACGCGGGTAGCTGAATGCACCCGCATTAACCACTCTTGGGATTTATTTATAATTTTCTTGTCTGTAAATTGGGGTGGCGAGGAGAGGAGGAGGAAGGATTGACTTGGCTAGTACCCTAGCCCTTAAGGTCTTTCCCAGGGTTGAGGCTGGAGTGGAGGGGTGGGGGTGGAGGAGGGACAGGAAAAGTGATCAAAAGCAAAGACCAAGTTTGGGAAGCCCACCGTAGGCTCGGTTATTGATCAAACCCCAGTACTTCGCTTCCCCGAGAGTTTCAGAAACTCTTTCCTTAACTGCTGTTGCTCAAATCCTCATCTCTCCTCGGCCACTGGAGAGGCTTCAGACCCGAGGCCTCGGGGAGCCTGCTCAGGTGGGTACCCCCTGCCCCGGCGGAGTATGTGCTGTGAGCGCTTTGCGCACTGGCTCCCCGGTAATCAAGTCTCCGCAGTGCCAGTGAAAAGACGCACTTTCTGGGGGAACCCGCAGTCCGCAGCCAAGGGCTAGCTGCAACCCTCGGGCCGGGTGCAGCGTGGGGACCAGGCGCCCAGGCGCCGGCTCCGGCGGGAATTTCAGCCGTGGCGAGCGGAGGGCGGGCTTGGTAACTTGTCGCGCGCATCCCAGCCAAGGGTCCCACACTACCGGCAAACTTCCTCTTTCTTCTCTTGCAGGGCCATCCGCATGCAGGCATTTAGAAACTGACTTCTTCGCTGGCGACCGCAAGTGCCTGTGATTTTTACTTTCCGTCTACATTGAACGTCTTGTACTGAAACTCACTGAGCCCTGCATGCCACAGTGCCTCGCTAAGGGGTCTCTGGGTACAAAATGCCTCTCCAAGGAAATGTTTCGAGGTAGAGAAAGTGAAAAAGACTAATCGAATTTATAAAAAGAAAACCTTTGCTTCCTTTTGGTTAAAATCCTTTTGCGGTCTTCTGAGTGTGGAAAAAAAAAAAAAAATCACCACCTTGCAATAGAGTGTAGCTAATTCCTGGAACCCATTAGGAGGGTGTCCAGAAAGCCCAGCAGGGCTCACAGATTCATTCCCATCTTTGAGCTCAGGAAGTAGGACTTTTGGATCCAGTGACTAGAGATCAGTTCTTATATGTTATCTGTTGGGAATAGGTGTGGGATCTCTGAAGCCCTGGACTCTGTGTGCATGTGGGGGTGTGACTGGGGGTCTGTCAGGAAGCTCATTTTCATTCGTAAAAGAGATTCGCTTAAATGACCTCCCTATGGGACGCCTCAATGAGCTAATTTGGCAAATCTCTTGCAACAAACTTTATATGTTTTGCCCCTTTCTCCAGCAAAAGGTCCGTTTTTATAGAACAGATCAACAGTTCCCAAAGAGAGGTGCATCTTGGTTTTGTATGCAGGAAGCTGCATACAGTGAGACCTTGATGGGGCAATCGCTTCTTGTTGGTCAGTGTTTGGAGAGGGAGGCACCATTTGGTTTCTGTTTGATCAATCAAATGGCCGGCCACATGGAACCATCCCGGGGGCCTGGCCCTTGTCTGCCTGGCAGCCTGTGAGCAAGGCTGGACTGTCACTCACATTATGGGTAATTTACAAATCTCCCACATCTCAGCAAGCTATGACTTTCTTAGGGAATATTTCTCTCTACTGAGAAAGGGCTTTCTCTGAGAGACATATTTCTTTTTGGGGAATGCAGTGAGTCAGAGTTGTTGCTGCAAACTTCATCCATCCCGTGCAGTTCAAACCTGCATCCTTCTTAGCTCCATATGTATGATGAGTAAAAAAAAGGGGAAAGGGGATAACCCACTGCTTTCTTCTCCTCCTTTCATCTTTTCCAGCTCAAGGAAGTTTTATAAATTGTTGCACTGATATTTCTTTCTCCTAATGTTCACCCTCATTTCTCCAGCCACAGTTACAATTGTTTCTGTCTTAATACCCAGTTTAACATGGAATTTTACATTTAAGAGACTATAGTTTCCCAGTTCCAAGCCTGTCACCTTCCTTCCTTGTGCCTTCTCAAAACAGAGACCATTACTTCTTAAGTTATACAGTTGTCAACACCTACATGTTTATGTAAGAAATCAGTTCCACTTTTTTTGTGCCTCTTCCCATTTATAACGCTCATTGTGTCCCGGACTCTCTTCTTTCATCCTGGGTTCCCCTCACCCCCAGACTCTTTGACAGAATCCATAGCACAACCCCATCCCTGGAAGCCTTGCTCAGAATCTCGGTCAGGTTGTAATGCATGTAACTTCCACTTAGCACTTGGCCCAGGACTGCCTGTGGCCTTTTCCCAGGCCCCGAAAAATGGGAAGATGCCAGCAAATCTCTCCTTCTCTAACCCAAACAGAAAGATTTCAGGAGAATTTGGGTTGGAAAGATTTTCCAGGTTTGTTTTTATTTTCTCTTTCCCCCTTGGGCCCCCTAGTACCTCCAGTTGGGAAGGATAGTGCTAAGAGAACCAGCCTCTTAGCTCAGGTCCCCCCCCCCCCCCAATCCCCCCTTTATGATCTCGCCTCTTCTGATCTCAGACATTAGCCAGGAACTTGCTTTATGCACATCTTGCTTGGGAGTTGGGGTTTGGACTCTTGGGGTTCACATGCTAGCTCTGTTATTTGACAGTGTCTTGGGAACACCGTCGTGGGTATGCACCCATGTGGTAGGTAGCTTTGGTCAAATTAATTTCACTGGCCGCTGTTTCCTGCTCTGTCAAGTGTAGCTAATGGAGAGGAAGCGCAGAGCTTAAGAGCATCCAGCAAGGACTCGGCTTTGCTTCCTCCTAGCAGTGTGACCTCCATATGCCTCCAACAGTTTCTCATCTGTTAAATAGGGATAATAATAGTCCTTATTTCATAGAGCTCTTGAGGGTTAAAAGAGTTAATATGTGTGAAGAGTTTAGAATAGTGGCTGGTATGTAATTAGCACAACATAAGTGTTAACTATTATTGTTATTACCTCACAGGCTTGTTGTGGGAATCAAATGATACAATATGGCTAAAATATCATTCTCTATTCATGCACGTGCATGTGTGTACTCAGTCTCCACCAACTCATGACCCCCAGATTGTAGCTTGCCAGGCGCCATGGGATTTCCTAGGCAAGAATACTGGAGTGGGTTGCCATATTCTTCTCCAGGGGATGTTCTCAACCCGGGGATTGAACCTGCATCTCTTGCATCTCCTGCATTGCCAGGCGGAATCTTTACCATTAGCGCCACTTGGGAAGCCCTATTCATCCACCCATCCATTCATTATTTATTTATTCATTCACGCTACATAGTAACATGCAAGGCATGGAGAATAACTCTGAAACAAACACTATCAATCCTTTCAATTAATCAAACACTATTTCCTGGGATCCTGTTATCAGAGCATTGTTAAGTGTTGGGCCTGAGGGGAACAGTATAGGAGCAAAAGTAAAAGCGTGTTAATTTTTAAGTTATTCTCATGCAATTTTTAACATTCTAATAGGAAGTCCCAACTCATAAAGAAATTTAAAATCAGAGCAGGCTATGCACGCACCCCGTCCTGTTGTGGTGTGTGTGGGTCCTTTGGGCCAGGGACAGATCATCTTCATGCTTCTAGAAGGTTCATAAGCACCAGTGGACATGTAAGTGGCCTGTTACTTATGTTCCAAGCTGTATGCACCTGGTTGTTTTATCTGGCTCACATATTTGTCTTTTTGATGGTATGGACTCCTCTGAGTTGCGCAGAAAACAAAATAATAAAACGGGTGCTGTTTTCCTTTGGGCCCCCTTGAAAGGTATAAATCACTTACAGTGTTCACTTAGATCCCTCTTTTCTGGCTTTTTTTGCTTTCCATTTTTGTCTGATTATAAAAATGAACCGTGGTCATTATAGTAGCGCATTCTGTAGGCAAATATAGTGGGTGAGATGGGAAAATCCCCTGTCAGTCTGTCCTGCTCCCCCCAGGTATTGGTCTGTTCTGGATGCAAAACCTCTGGTGGCTGCCGCGTGGACCAACTTAGTATTAGAACCATGTTGTGACCAAATGTAATTTAACATTTACTGGTGGAATGCAAAGTGCTCTTGTGAACCCCCTCCCTTCCCCTGTGCTTTGAGATTAAAACACATTTTATGGTTAGAATCTGGAAAAAGAATAAAAGAGCCTGGGCAAAAATACCTGTTAGCAGTGGAGTTGTTGTGTAAAATGGGAGAGACAATAGCAGATGTGCACCGGTCTCGACGTAATAACAGCTTCCTTGGGAAGCATCGGCCAGCAAATGCAGTTTAAGACCATCACAGATGTCAGTGAGCGGAGGCTGAGGTTGCTTTTTGCCCCAGCATTGAGGGAGCAGACTGGATTTAATCTGTCTCTTGATGTCCTTCTCCTCAAAAATAGTGCCCGGGGGCTCTCATGGGCTTTATTTAGAGGCTCTTAGGAGCTTGGCAGTATGTAAATTATGCGTGAGTGTCCTTCATAGTTCCCAGTAGTCACCATCAGAGGGATTTAAACATGATTTAGCCTTTCAGATGATTTGTGGGCGCACTGGAGCCAGCCAGCACAGTGGTGACAGCCCAGACTGGGTTTCTCACCATTGCATTAAATAGGTTTCCATGTCTTGCTTGGATACTCTGTCCATTCACCTCCTGGCCTCAGAGTTGGTCTATGAGTCACCTCCCAGCGTTGGTGGGTGACCTCTCAAATATCCTTACTGTATCAGGGAGTTCTGAGGTTTTTCAAAATGGAAGTTTTATAACTTAAAAAAAAAAAAATACCATTCAATCCATAGTGACTGCAGAGCTTCCCATTCATTTATTCTATCATTCATTCAACCCACATTTATTAAGCACCTACTATATGCTCCTTATCGATATTGGGCTGGCCAAAAATTTCATCCCAGTTTTTCAGTAACAGTGTATAAAAATTCAAATGAATTTTCTGGCCAACTCAGTGTTTTAAGCACTAGGAGGCATCAGGCTTGAAAAAGGTTGCTCCATTTCCTTCATCCCTTTCCTCTCCTCTTTTTTGTTATTATGCTTTTAGGAGGATTAGGGAAATTATTCTTTAAAAAAAAATTGACTTTTCTAGTTGAGAGTCTAAAACACATTGTGGAACATCCATGCAATAAAATATTAGCCACAAAAAAGGAACTACTGATACTTGCAGTGATGTGGATGAATCTCAAAAGTATTATACTGCATGAGAGAATCCAGAACCAAAAGAGACCACAAAGTATCACTACTTTTATATAACACTATAAAAAATGAAGGGCTTCCCAGGTGGTGCTAGTGGCAAAGAACCTGCCTGCCAATGCAGGAACCTAAGAGACACAGGTTCCATCCCTGGGTCAGGAAGATTCCCTGGAGGAGGAAATAGCAACCCATTCCGTTATTCTTGCTGGAGAATTCCATGGACAGAGGAGCTTTGAGGGCTGGAGTCCATGGGGTTGCAAAGAGTCAGACACGACTGAAGTGGCTTAGCACACACATAGACAATGAAAACCAATCTATAGTGACAGAGAGCAAATTAGTAGTTTAACGTTTGAGGGGTTTGAGGGGGAGGGAAGGAAAGAAGATTATTGAGGGGCACAGGGAAACTTTTGGGGATAATTGAATAGTTTGCTATCTTGATTGAAGGCTTCACAGTTACAGACATATTTCAAAACTGATCAAATTGTATACTTTACATATGGGTGGTTCAGTATACTTAAATCATGGCTCAGTAAAGTTGAAAAATAAGGTTTCCCATTTTCGCCAGTATTGGAAATGGATGTTCGTTAAGGAATTTGAAGAGAAAATGGAAATTGTCGCTATCATATTTGGACACTTGAGTCCTTAAGAGTTCTTTGGGGCTTGGTCACACTTCATGTGGGTATGGATATTGGTTTGAGTGGGGGTGGCACTGGCATTGGCTC